ACACACACACACAATCAATCAAATTTGATTTGATTGATTTGATTGATTGATTGATTGATTGACTCTCTCTGTCTCTGTCTCTCTCTCTCTCTCTCTCACACACACACACACACACACACACACACACACACACACACCAACCCCAACCTGACCCCCTTTTCCTTTATTTGTTTTCAATTTTTGCATCTTAATTTTTTTTAAACACCCAGTTTCCCGACACAAACCCGAAAATCATTTCTCAAAAAATACAGGACAACTCAACGACCATGTCCCTCATGATAAAAAATGAAAAAAAAAAAAACATCCTGCTTTTTTTTTGTTTTTTTAATAATTTGTTTAAATCAATTTTCGTTTTTCATTTTTTTTAAATCTTAAACGAAGTCGGATTCCAAAATAAAAAAATATAGGATTGTAGGGTTTTCCAAGCCCTACAACCCTATATATATATATATATCGTCACAAACAGAACTGCGCGGTAAACCGTAGGCAGAGAGAGAGAAGAGGACAACAAACAAGGGGCTGTGACAAACTGTTTCGTCGGAGTTTCACCGACTCATCAGGAGGCTGAACCCTCAACAGTCTGCAGAATCCCCTCACTGATTATACGACGGCTCCGCGGGGTACGCAGACTGCGGATCGCGTCAGCGAGGACGTTGTATCCGTTCTCGACCTTCCCCATCATTATGGATGCCACCCTCTCACACGCTGCAATGTCCTTCTCCATAGTCTCTTTGTGCGTCTCCAGCTGCTGCATTGCAACCTCACGTTGTCGGAGGGCGCGGTATCCCGACCCTCCTTTGTGTACCAAGTCCCTGCTTGGTACCAGTCTTCACTCTGATGCTCCGGCCTATAGATGTATCTTGGACCCCTGTTGCTCTTGGTACCCAGGCTGTGCTTCGGCGCGGACCAGTCCCGGTGACGTTGCCCTCAACAAAAGGGGTGCGCCACATGACTTCCATTTGGTCCACGCAGGCTCGGCGCCCTGCTGTACAGCAGAGCACAACCGGCCTGTGACCGTGGTAGCCGCCGGGTTCGCCCTGGGACGCGGAAGTGAGAGGGAAGGCTCAGTCTTTTCAACTGCGCGCTGAGCGTCCCTCTACTGAGTTATGGGTAAGGTGCATGAGACAGAAAGTCGTTGTCGGAAAAGAAAAGAGAAAAGGAAAAATAAAACGCAAAAATTTAAACCCGCTTTTGTATGGGGAAAATCCAGTGGCCACAAGTCACTGAGATGCTACGATTTTCTGTCTATTATGATTATTATTATTTACATAATTTTCCTATTCTTAGCTTCTCAACTGTTGTTTTGTCACTTCGTAGGGAGGGCTGTCGATTCAGGTTTCAGACTGCATCTGGTATTATGGTCTGGGTCTTACCTGACCCCTCGTATACACGTATCAAACCTATTGGTCCGAATCGCGTGGACCCCGGTGTCCAGGATGAGGGACAGATACAGTGAGGACTAAAAGGGAGGAAATAAGAAAAGAAAGGAAAGGAAGGGAAGAGGTTGAAAATAGGGTGTTAGACTTCTGCGTAAACGCGGGTAGCTGTCCAGGCCAGGCTGGCACACAGAGAGAATTCTGGGACGCCACCCTTTCCTTCCCTTTCCTTTCTCCTGCGATTATTATTATTATTATTTTTATTATTATTATTATTTAGTTTTCTAATTTTGATTTCTACCTGTTGGCCTGTCCTTTCGCGGGAAGCCAACGGTTCGAATTTCGAGCCATCGATCCGTGGCCTAAGTAGGCCGACCTTGCATATACGATCCGCGGGTGAGCCCCGATCTGGCACCGTGCGGTAGGACCCCAAAAGGAGGGCGACCCGCAGCCACATTGGTAGGAGACTTATCACCTCGAATGGAGGGTCAAAGGCCCCGTCCTTGCCATCGGAAGCGGGCACCCATTAGGAGAATAGGCGGTAACTAGTTTTAAAGAAAAGAGAGCGCAGGTCGGTATCCCGTTATGGGACCACTGCATGGAGGTCACAGTTATTATCACGGCAGGATTAAATTACAGGGGCAAAACGTGAAAGATCTGAGTGTGCAGTGACTAGCGACGTTTAGTTTATCGCTCCATTCTTTTCCTTTATTTTAACTTTAATTTAATTTATTTTACTATTTCCAAGATTCACGGGATGTTGATGAGCCAAAACTAAGGCTATCTTGAACTCTCCGCCCAGAGTATGGGAATCGCGGTGTAGTAAGATCCTATAAAAGAAGGGAAAACCAGACTACTGGGCGACTCTTAGTCTGAGGGTACCCGCGAACTAGTTCGCTGCATCGGTGCCACTAGTCTGGGGCCAAAGGCTGGAGTAGTGGAGACGGGTGTTAAGCCATCCGAAGTGCGTACTCCTGGGGTTGGGACTGGCTATTCAAGATGTGGCTATGGCTTTGCATGGGTATAGACCCTACTACTGGTACCACTAGATTCGGTGGAAACCCATGTTCGAGGAGGGGCCTTGGATCACGGCTATACTTAACTACGGCGGGGGAGACGAGATGAGGCTGAAGATCAATGTGGAAGGAGGAAAAGAGGTGGATATGCGGACTAATGGGAAGCTACAGGACGCTATCACAGAGACGAAAGATCGTGTGGAAAGGCGTTGCCGAAGGGACGGCGTGACGGCAAGAATGCAGGTAACAGTCTCGTATCATGAGACCGAGACTTCCATGGATATGGCGGACCTGGAGCAAGCCCACGTGGACAGGGACTCAGGTGGGGAGAGCGAAATGAGTGAGGCAGGGGACCGGGAAACGGACCTCAGATCCTGGAATAGACCAGGCGAGATCCAGAAGCACCACCGGGCGGTGAAGCCAGTGGAAGAGGGCCCAGAGGCAAGCTGGCGACATCTAGTGCCCAGAGGTCGCGGGACGGGTGAGAAGCAAAGCAGGGGGAAAAGACACGTTTGAAGGGGCGAGGTCGGTGACGAGTGTGAAGAGGCTGCACGTGGCAAGGCCAGGGGAGCGAGAGGGCAGTCAACGAAGAAGAGGGACGGTGTGTGAGCGGGAACTGGACGAGCTTGCGGAGCGCGACTGACGTCAACCGTTTTTCGCACAGGCTTGCACGACGTCTCGTTTAGACCCTGCGAAACTGAGAGGAGAGAGAGACGCGGCAGTCAAGGGAGCGGGGGGAAAGTTAACGGAAGACTACTAGGCAGGGGAGTGTAGACTCGACATGCACACCAACTTGCTAGTTATTCGAAGGGGAGAGGGAATTAGCGGATGACATCTGATCCGCCGTTGGACTTCACTCAACCGCAGGGAAAGGGCGTCCCCTTCTCCTTCCTCCCTGCAGACACCGACTTATACTGACTGAAGGTGGTGGGACTGAGACTAATCGCGCGCGGCTTATCAGAGTCAGGGGCAAGTAAAAGAGGTGGGGTTCAAGAGAGAGGTGAGCAAAAGGGCAGGCGGAATGGCCTGCTTCCCAGTACGATAAGAGTCTGCAAAGGTGTTACTGCCAAGTACTAAAGTTTGCGCCTGAACGAGAGAACCTCTTGCCATCGACACCACTATCTGTTCTGAAGGGCCAGTGTTTCTTGAAATAAGGAGTTGTAAGGTGCGGTAAACGCAGATAACTCCGAGCTTGAGTGATAAGGTCGATATTCTCTTGGGGCTTGACTGGCAGCTTACGAGGGTCGTTTCGCTTTGTGCTTCTGGAGTAGGGTCAGACAAGGTTAGCGAGCGTAGTGACGTCACCCCCCTTCTCCTCTTCCCCCTCTCTTCTGCCTTCAGTTTGTGATTGGGGTGGCGACGAAGGTTAGCACGCCTCATTAGTCTTGTTACTTGGTTGGAGGCTCGTGGTAGACAAAGCTCTAAAGAAAAAGGTGTGGGACTGTGAAGAGGAGAGGTAAGATCAGCGTGCACTTATGCCTAGAAGGCGATGGTATCGGAGAAGCAGTAAAACCGTGATAAAAACACAAAGATTGCGAGGAGCGTGATTTTATGCTAAATTGCGCGAATGACCTGTGAACGGTGCTCCTCGTTCTGATCAGCCATTTGTCTTCAGTAAAGTCAGAGCTACTTACTGTCACATTTCAAAGTTATCACTTGATTGCGAGTGGCGCTGACCATTTCATGATAGTGTGTTGGCAAAAAACTAGGAATTGTTGAACTAGCAGGGTTAAGGTATGACACTGAAATGAGATTGCTGGTCAAGCGTGAATAAAGCGAGTCAGTGGACTTCTGCTTGTTAGACTAGTGCTTCTTGGAGAGAGGCTTAGCAAACCCTTCTCGTTTTCAGTTTCGTCAAGTTCATAAGAATTCCCCATTCCTCGTCTCCTTCTTTGTCATGGTCGAAGAGAGACAAGTACTTTGTTGGCATGCAAGTTTTCATTCAAGGATCAGAGGTAGATCCAATCACTTCCTATGAATTAAGTACGTCGGCGATACTACGGTGAGCGGAATTATTAGTACGCGTGAGTGTGGTGGACTCGGACATTATCGTGGGTAGTGCCAAGTAAGCTCATGCCTGTCCAAAGACTTGATACAACAAGTGTAAATTGAGAAGCTGTCTGGCTATGTTTAATCTGAGCAAGGGTTACTCTCGTCATGTAAACTCAAGTATCGAATTTGTGGTTGAATGATCCTCAAGAAACACATGTACTCTGGCAAAGTTAATGCTGATCAGAGTGACCACTCGAGCCGGCCTGATATCGAGCTAGTTCAAGTGCGTTTCCCTGATTGGTGTCTTTTTGTTACCGTCAACGGATGGGAAAGCGGCAATTTGTACTGTTAAAGATAGCACGCCTGTTGGCTAAGTATCTGCTAGATGGAGACTAAACAATCCTAAGAGTTGACTCGTTAAATGATAAAACCAAGCAAAAAGGGGGGAATTTTGTGTTCGTTACTCGATTAAGCCTCTACGGGTCTAATTACCCAGAGCTGCCGGACTGAGTACACTCTTCTTCCGCCCTCCCTTACCCTTTTGCTTCCAGTAGTCCAATGGTCATTCCTGAGCAGAGTGATGAGAATTTGCGCACCAAGTTGAGCAGAGAAGGTACCTCAGTAAGTTGCGGTCTTGGATTGGGGCCTACGTACTGAGGCACTTACCCGATCTTCAAAACCAGCCACTTGCGGGCTTAGAAACCTATAAGAGATCATGAAGGAACCTTTCTGCATAGGGCATACTTGTGAGTCTGACAGTAACCCGTTCGATTAACAATTACATATTCATGTCACTTGTTTTAACCCGACTGATTGGAGCGGTTAGCTATTGACTGGATCTGGTTCGAGTCCTGGTTCTGGGTCCATCCCATGTCTGGGGACTTTGTCAGGCCTCGCCCAGGGAGGTAAAGAGAGTGGCGGAAGAGTTTTCAATCAAGAATCAAGCACTATATTGCTTATAGCATAGGAGGGGTACATCTCATTTACTCTCAACTCTGACGCTAGTGAAGAATAATTACATCTTGTGCCAGATACAGTTAACTATGGCTGTCTGTGGTGTGATGTTAACGCCAGGGTCCTCATTAGCAGTTCAAGACGCTTAAGTGACTCGGTGCTCAGTCAACCTCACCGCGTGGTGCTCTGCATGAATTAGGTAAGGTAGTATTTGCGGGTTGTGACCGGAGTTAGGCACGGTTTTAGCAGAACCAAGGCATGTGCTGGCAATAACCAAGCTTGGATGTTATCGGGGGTTACTGTCATAGTGTGGAGAGCAGGATAGGAAGAATGGTCTCCTTCAAAGTAAATAACAACAAAATTATCCTACGGACTCTGACTGTGAGGTGAAAGTAGTCATGTCAAATGAGAACATTCATGCCATGTCCTTTACTCTCTACTAGAGTGAGGCACAGGGATAAGCGAACAGTATTGTTGACCGTGCATCATGTTGTACAGTAAGGGAGTGCATTTGGGTTAATGAGAATCCAGTGCGTCCTTGAAGTGAATGATTTACCCTCTTAAGGGAGGACCGAAAAAGTACTCCCTGCAAGAACCGTCGTTCGAGAGCACCTGTTCATCAGTGGCCAGCAGACAAAAGGTAAACAAAGAAAACGGGTGTTTCGTTGGGCGATTATATAGCGTCGTAAAAGACACACTGGTGAAGTGAGTATCACTGGAAGATGTTTGAGGGATGAAAATGAGAAGACTCATTCAGTGTTACCGAAAGAAAAGAAAACAAAAAATATCTGAGTATACAGTATATCGTCGAGGCCCAATAGGTTGAGATGCTCAGAAAACTGTGCATTCTGCAGTCCCTCTCGAGATCGAGTTTCCCACCAGTGGATGAACGGTATGTTACCTGAAATGGGCGAATCTTTTGCTGCATACCTATAACTGATGATTGCAAATAGCTGTAGTATGGGTGTCCAAAGACTCATGTATAAGTAATAGCCCTTCCTTGTAATATGGTTGAGGTTCAAGGGCCTTTTTCGGTCCGGCAGTACCCGATCACCTAAGTGACTGTGAAGTTTTCAAGCAACAGAGCAAACAAGATTTAGCGCCTGGTTACCTTTGCCGCACCTTCAATTAAGATCCAGACAACTTCCAGATAACCGCTTATGTGACTTTCAGACAAGTCTCTGAGTCGGTAACTAGTCAGTAGTCAGAATCACAATCAGATAAGCAGTCATGAGGGAGGACGAAGTTCTGGTGGTGAAGAGTGAACTGAACAGGGACAAGAGAGAAGGATGGGAGGAAAAGGCGTACCAAGACATGGAGTTACACAGAGTGGCTCAGCGTGAGCACGCAGTTCAGACGGTGATAAGCGAGGTGTACATTGACTACGTAATTTATTTCTATGGGCATGATAACAGGCTGCACAGTATCAGTTCCTCGTTGGAGATAGTGGAACAAGCTAGAGCAGAGCTTGCACGAACCCGGTGGTGTCTGAATCGTCTTCCCCAAAGCTCTACCAGTATCTGAACAACAATTTCCCTTTAGGGTTTTGCTGTTCTTTCTCCTAGCACTAGTGAATCGGTTATTTGGCGGTTTAAAAACGTCGGTGAACTTTCGGACGAATACTCAGGCACTACACTTTCAGTATTTAACGACTATCCAATCCTTACTTAATTTAGAGCAAAGTTCTCTTCAGTATTCAAAAGACGCTCAGATCGGCATTCAAAACAGTACCCGGAACAGTTCTCGGAACAGTACTCGGAACAGACCTCGGAGTGGTGTACAATACTCAGATCAATACCCAGGATATTATTTGGAACTGTATTCTGAAGCGGTTTCCGGATCAGTATTTGGGAATGTGCTCGAAATCGTGCTCAGAACAGTACCCAGGACTGCACCCTGGATTGCACTCGGAGCAGTGATCAGAGCGGTCCTCAGGGTGGTACTTGGGACAACTTTCAGGACAATACTCAGCACTCAAGGCAGTGTTCGGCTACCTAAACAGCAACCGGAAGGAGCAACCATAGAGCAGTATTTGGACACAGCGCTCGGCCTGCATTTTCGTAGCAGCTAAGTCGAGTATCGGCCATCTATTTATCCATTCAGCTATCTGACCCTTACCTAATCCACCTTCAACTAGCAGCAAGCATTTCTCAGAACAGTTTCCAGATAATTCTTAGACAAATTTCAAACAGCATTCTGGCAATAGCCAACGACAATTGAACTGTAAAGCAGGGTGTGAGTAGGCTTCATTCTCAAAGAGTATTAACATGAGTCTCGGAAGGAAAGATGGAAAGGGGGAACACAGTTAGGGTGACTTGTTCATTGCATTAAGTCACGGCAGGGGATTGGATAGAGAGTATTGCTGAGGACTATAGCCATCAAACAATTATGATGATGGAACGTGCACTGACTTTGGTGAGACATCACACGAAAATTGAGTATATTTATTACTTGTACGACAGAAACAGTAGACTTTGCGCTATCATCTCCTCCGTGGGTTCAGTAGAGGAGGCGAGGAGGGCTGTTCAAGGGGGTTAAGGATAAGACTGCGTTAGACTAAGGTGGGGAAAGTAAATCCAAATCGTCCCCGGGACTGGGTCCAGTCAAAACGCACAACAGATTACCAAGATACAAACAACAACTGGCACTAAGCCAGTACAGCAATTAGCAGACCAACAATTTTGAGACAGACAAGACAATCAACAATCTTCGCAGCTAGAGAGAGGTCAGCAAGCAAATCAGCAATCAACTCAGCAATCCAGCAACCAACTCGAAAGTCAGATCAGCAGCAGCCAGCAGACGGCAGACGCCAATTTCCATGAGAGCACAGTCGAGACCTTTCGACTCAGCGAGTCAGTACTGGCCAGTCTCAATCAGATTTCATGCAAAGAGGCATTCCGCTATCAGTATACCAGCGCCATTGGTTTCAGACGGGGAGACCTGTCAATCTTCGTTGTCCAGACCAGTTTTGCTGATAGCACCATCCACGATCTGAGGCCTTACCTGAAGAGGGGCAAGGAGATTCATGAGCTTTTCGATCCAGTCTGGATCTCAACCACCGAATACCTTGAGCAGAGGGAGAGGGAGCTTGATGAGAGTGGCACTACGTTGATCCGCAGCTTCGAGCCAAAGCTTTATACAGACTATCCCAAGCCTCTCGTTCCTCCCCTCCTCACAGATGGCACGAGTTGGCTTGATATGATCAGCCTAACAAAGAGGTATATCTCTCCAGCAGTGATCGACATTGAGGCGCTGACTGAGCCCACCGAGTATCCCTACCTCAGACGAGGGGTCTTTTCAGTGGACGGACTGCCTACATTATGGGAGGAGTTTTGCTCCATGGTTAACTTCTGTGTCATGTACCTCGGATGGTTATGCTCAGAGCTTGCTGGCTTCAGATGACTCTTTGTCACGAGACCTCAATCTCGGATTGTACGTGGGCGTGGGTCACAACACCAGATATGAACATCGAAAAGAGAGAATGAGAGAGACTGACCAGAGGGATGAGTGAGGAATCTTGAGAGGTGCTGACCATGCTTATTTATGTGTACTTTCTGAGATTATTAGGAGTTCTCATTCTTCCCTTATTCATTTGACCCTGTCATTGTTTCGAGTCAGTCAGTCTTGCTTTGAGCATTGTTCCTGCTTGATGCTCGATTTCTTGGATAACTTTGTCACGGTTCTCAAAATTAGATTGACACAATTGATGGATGCATAGCACCCCATAATTTCTATGATTATTTATTTGCATGATGTTCAGCTGTTTCGAATCAAAATAAAAGATTCCTAAGACCAGGGACCGGCGAAGACCGTAATTGAAGGGTCTCGCTCGAAGCCGGACACACACAACAGGAAGGGATTTGCATTATTTAATTTATTTATTTATTGCAATCACATACAAAATCCTGCGTGACAGCCTGTTGGCTTTCCGGTCACTTGAAGTGGCCTGACTGGAAAAAGTGCGACAACGTGCGACGTCACACCGCATCTTTGCACACTCACGGTCGGATCGCGTAACAACGATTGTGTCGTCACGCATAGCTCCTGTGATAGCCTTCATACTAGTCTCGTGGGCATTACTAGCTGCTCTTTTGCGCTATGAAACACCCGCAGACGCGTCCGCGGGGTCGAGCTCGGAGGGCGGCCATATTCATGTCCGCATCCGCAGCTGGCCTCGGCCACGCCGCGGACATGAATTTACACGAATTTTCCTGAATTAAATAATGGGTAAAAATATATATATATATAAGGTGTTGTAGGGATTTTCAATCCCTACAACCCCAAATTTTTTTTTTTTGAATTATAAAAAATAAAAAACAGAAAAGGTGGAGAAGAAAAATAAAAAATTAATTTTATTTTTATTTTTATTTTTTTGGGCGGGATTTTTGGTTGGTAGTTTTTTACATTCTTCGTTTTTTTTTTTCTTTTGTTTTTTTTAATAAGGAAACAATCAAGGAATGAAATAGATATATATATATTTTTCTCCGGGGCCTATTAGTATTTGTGTGTGAACGTGTGTGTGTGTGTGTGTGTGTGTGTGTGTGTGTGTGTGTGTGTGTGT